AGGGCGACAGCTTGAGACTCCGTCTCAAAAAAAAAAAAAAAATCTTACATGGTGTGACAGTTAAGATGAAATGCAATCTTACCAAAATAATAAAATGTTTAACAGGAAAATATTTTATAATGCCTCAGTAGTTAAGTTAAAATTATTTAAAATATTAGTTCATTAATTGCATTAGCCATAGTTTATCAGTTTTCTGTTGTCATGTGCATTATAATGTACAGTGCAGATTTTACTGTCATTTTCTCAATTTGGGCAGAAATTGATAATGAAGGTGTGATTGAACCAGACACTGATGCCCCTCAAGAAATGGGAGATGAAAATGCAGAGGTAAGTTCAATTGAGAAGATTGAACGTGAAGATTCTTACCTGTTGCAATATTTATATAATACGATTCTTTTAGGAAGAAAGCACATAGTGAATCTTTCTTGGACTTAACGGTATTTACTAAAACACTTTATATTACTACCTTAAGTATTTGTGAAAATCCCCGTGTTATTTTTAAACCATTCCAACAGTCTTTGAAGTCTCTGCTATTATCTGTTTCACCTTTTTTACATTTGTATCTGGTTTGACAGTTCTTTGCACTATAAAGTAAAATTCACCTAAGGTATTATTTAGCTATAAGTGAAATTTCCTCTTAATGGAGTATCTAATGCAGAATTGCATTCCAAAATGATTTTGTCATAACAGGCCCTCAAAAGGGTGAATATTAGTTCTTGGGACAGGAGCTTGGAAAAATTTTAGGTAATATGTTGGTTAGTAATTCTAAGGGCCTTATTAACAAGTTAACCATCAGACTTGTTGTATAGCATACAAAACTTGGAACAACAATCGTGAATACCACACAGTAAGACATTGACACATGGCTGTGAGACACTGGTATACCATGGTTATGAAACCATTGTGAATTGTTTGTGCAGTGCTGTCAAAAGTAAGCACATGGTGGTATGTTCATGAACTTACTGTTCAACTTCCTATTATGTCAGCTCTGATGATCATTCCAGAAAAAGAGTTTCAAAATTGATTTGAAGGGTGAACTAGGTATTGGTATTGATGCGTAGCTTCTGAAGAGGAGAAATTAGAAGGTGATTGTAGTTATAATTCAGCAATGAAGTATGTAGTATTTTTTCTAGGCTGAGTTTGTGGACTTAGTTGTCAAACCTCCTATTTGTTTGCCTTTCACTTTCAGTTTACCTGTCAGTACCATTATTGAAGAATTTCTTTTCCTACTAATGCTAAAATGAAATATGCTGTTTCATAAGTGTGGCTTTGTTTAGGGAGTCTCTTGATCTACTTGTCTAATTTTTATTCTCTCTATATGTATGTATGTATATATATATTTTTGAGACAGTCTCGCTTTATCAGCCTCTGTAGAGTGCAATGACATCATAGCTCACAGCAAACTCAAACTCTTGGGGTCAAGCAATTCTCTTGCCTCAGCCCCTGAGCAGCTGGGACTAGAGGTGCCCCCCCCACAACGTCCAGCTATTTTTAGAGACAGGGTCTCGCTCTTGGGCAAGCTGATCTTGAACCTGTGAGCTCAGGCAATCTACCAACCTTGGCTTCCCAGAGTGCTAGGATTACAGTCGTGAGCCACTGCCCCCAATCCTTTCAGTCCATATCAGCGGTTCGACCCACAAGAACTGTACTAAAGGGCCGTGGAATTAGAAAGGTTGAGAACCGGCTCGGCGCCTGTGGCTCAAGTGGCTAAGGCGCCAGCCACATACACCTGAGGTGGCGGGTTCGAATCCCCAGCCCAGGCCCGCCAAACAACAATGATGGCTGCAACCAAAAAAATGGCCAGGCGTTGTGG